GTTGTTGTTGTTGTTGTTGTTGTTGTTGTTGTTGTTGTTGTTGTTGTTGTTGTTGTTGTTGTGGTCGTTGTCGTTGTCGTCGTCGTCGTCGTCGTCGTCGTTGTCGTTGTCGTTGCGTTGTTGTGATTGTGGTTGTTGTTGTTGTTGTTGTTGTTGTTGTTGTGTGTTGTTGTGTTGTGTTGTGGTGTTGCTGTTGCTGTTGTTGTTGTTGTTGCTGTGTTGTGTGTTGTTGTGTTGTTTGTTTTGTTGTTGTTGTTGAGGCCTTGTCGCTGCGCCCAGTTATTGTTCATTATCGTCGAGTCGTGGTATTGCCGTCTTCGTCGTCGTCGTCGTCGTCGTCGTCTTCGTCGTCGTGGTTGTTGTTGTTGTTGTTGTTGTTGTTGTTGTTGTTGTTGTTGAGCTCTCACTCTTGAAGAATAATCATTGTTGATCCCCCCCACCGGTGCACATTGATTTTTTCGATTGAAGTGCCACCCCCGGGGCTCGCACCTTGTTTTTTTCTCAAGGAAAGTCTTTCCTGCTCAAACTATGCCCCTGCCCCCCGGGCTACAACAACAACGGCTCCCGCTTGAGACTTCATCGATTTTTACTCAGGACCCCCGCTCCCGCCTGAGACTTCCGCGCAATTTACTCAGGAAAGGCGCTCCCGTCTGAGACTTCCTCGCAATGTAATCAAGACCCCCGCTCCCGCCTGAGACTTACGTGCAATTTACGTGGGAACGGCGCTCCCGCCTGAGACGGGGGGGGGGGGGGGGGGACTTCTTCCGATTATCAGGACCCCGCTCCTGCCTGGACATTTAAATACTTGGCTCCGGCCTACGCCCATACCGCGCAATTGACTCAGGAACGGCGCTCCCGCCTGAGACTTCCTCGCAATTTAGTGAGGACCCCCGCTCCCGCCTGAGACTTCCGTGCAATTTGCTCAGGAACGGCGCTCCCGCTTGAGACTTCCTCGCAACTTAGTCAGGGCCCCCGCTTCCGCCTGAGATTCCCTCACAATGTACTCAGGACTGCGCTCTCGCGTGCGACGTCCTCACAAATTATTCTGGAATTGCGTTTCGGCGCTCAGGAACCACGCACGCGCCAAGGACGCCTTCACAACGTGGTATCTTCCCTCTTCCTTCGTCCTTCCCCCTCCCCTTCCTCCCACTCTCCCTCGTTCTTCCCCCCCTCCTCTTGCAGGGCCCGCGCCAATTCCAATGGCGGGCAGAGAGATGTACGCCCCCGAAGGATTGTCCGCCCGTTCCGGTTTGCCCGTGCGTCTAAGCCCGCCGGCCCCAGCAAAGAGAAATAATCCCCCCGAAAGGGGTGTGATCGAAGACGAAGAGGGCGGTATCGAGGGTGTAGGGTATACGTGTTGAATGACTCGCGGGCAAGTAAGAGCGTACAGCCTTAAAATGGTTGTTGTTGTTGTTGTTGTTGTTGTTGTTGTTGTTGTTGTTGTTGTTGTTGTTGTTGTTGTTGTTGTTGTTGTTGTTGTTGTTGTTGTTGTTGTTGTTGTTGTTGTTGTTGTTGTTGTTGTTGTTATGGTTGTTGTTGTTGTTGTTGTTGTTGTTGTTGTGGTTGTTGTTGTTGTTGTTGCTGTTGCTGTTGTGTTCTCCCACTTGTCTCGTGATGCGCACGACCCGCGCGCGAGCAAGTCGTCGGCGCGCAGGGGGGGGAAGTAAGGGGGGGCAGGCCGTCTCAGCCTTCCCAGATGGGGTCTGAGCAGATGGTGTAGGAGGATCGCGCCGCATCGCCGATGCGTCGGCGATGCGGCTCGGTGTGGAGCCCGATCTTCTCCGCCCCGACGTTTCCGATGCATTGCCAAAATCGCCGATGCATCGGCGATGCGGCGCAATCCTCCGACCCCACTTAATCACTCGGACCCCATAAGGAGTTCTCCAAGGGCCCCAAGCCGGGAGAGGGAAAGGGTCTGCCAACACCAGGGATCCGCAGGCCCGCTTCGGGGCCAGGCTCCTTTCGGGCTCGGGCGGCCTCGGGCGTCGTTTTTTTTTTGTTTGTTTTTTTTTTCTTCCCCCCTGCAAGGGAGAGTTTGCCTATTGTCTCGGGCCCCAGGGCCGTCACGTGTCGATCCTGCCCGACAGAGAGAACGCAGCAGAGTAGAGGGAGGGGGTCTGGGGCTTCGGGCGTGGCTCTTCGCGATGCCGCAGGATCTTCGCTCCGGGCCTCGGGGCCTACGGTCAGGGGAGCGACGAATGACAGAAGCATAAAAGCTCGGAGGTCCGCGCGGACTTCTCAGATCGGCGGAGCGCGCCAGGGGCGGCTCCGAGGGCGCCGCCAGGGGGCCCCATCGCCGTTCCGAGAGATCCGCGCGGACCTCCGAGCGTTTGGGCCTCTGGCATTGTTTTCTTCTCCTACAGTCTGCCCGGATGAGTAGGTCGACCCTGCCAGGTCAAGGGCACCTCTGCGTCCTGTGTCTCGCGACCCGTGCCTCCTGCATTCCTGTGGCAGTGTGGCCCTCGGAAAGGGTCTTGTGTCCTCTCTCGCGTGTCCTGTCCGATGAAGTCCGACAGACTGTACTGGTGCGCATGGCCCCGCGGCCCGGGCCGGGCGGCCACCGGCGCGGAGAGGCTCGGCCGCAGGCAGGAGCGGCTCAGAGGCGACGATGAGGGCGAACAGCCCAGGGGAGAGCAACACAGGTATCCAGGGGCGCCGATGATCGATGCCTTCGGAAAGTCTTCCGGGCGAATGCGTGCATTGCCCGCCCCTGGGCTAGAGCCTGTTTCTTTTTGGATTCAGGCAAGTTTACTTGCATGGCGTCCCCCCCTACTGGCCCAAAAGCCTTCAGCTAGCCACGTTTCTTATGAGTCCAGCTCCCCGGTAATCCCTCTACTTCCTGAGCTTATGCAAAGTATCGCTAGCACCCCCCCCGAACGTGCAAGTCGCTTGCGGCTTGCTTCAGGCTCGGCCCCTCCCCCCGCCCATGCACGTAAACTTGCCAGAGTCTAAAAAAAACAGGCTCAGGCCTTCTCTATAGACGTAGGGGCGAGGCCTTCTAAGAACCAGGGTGCTTCTAAGAAGCCTTCCCCCCTCCCCCTACCCCCTTTTGCGCGGCGCCAAGCATTGCCCGCCCCTGGGCTATTCGCCCCTCTCGTCGCCGCCCAGCGGCGTGTGCGCCTTCCCCGCGCCCTGGCGAGAGCCCTCGGCGGCGGGAGGCGGCGAGCGCCCTCGGCGGCGGCGGGCGGGTCGCGGGCGGCGGCGGGGCGGGCGCGGAGGCTCGCGGGAGAAGAGGGGCACCGAGTCGAGGGAGGAGGGAGCACTGGAGGGTTTCGCCGAAGGGCTTAGGCGACCCGTCCTCCCCCTCCTCCTCCTCTCCTCCTCCTCCTCCTCCTCCTCCCTCGAAACCTGTCCTCCGTCCTCGAAAGCCTCCTGCCGCGCCTCCATCCTCCCTCCCTCTCCCCTCCTGGCCTCCTCCATGCCCTCTTCCCCTTTTTACATACTCAACCTCCTCCTCCTCCTCCTCCTCCGCCTCCTCCTCCTCCGCCTCCTCCTCCTCGCCCTCCCCTCCTCGGGTCGCCTACGGCCCCGGGGGAAACCGTCCACCCCGCCCCCCACAATCGGCGTTGACTGAGCTCAGGGGCAACGACAGGGGGGGCTGGGCATAGGGGGGGGGTGCATCGACCCCCAATCGCCCACGGATCGCCGATAGGGGCCCGATAGCCCCAACCTGCCCAGGAAGGTGCGGATTCACCATCGGAGGCCTATCGCCGATCTATTGACGATGTATCGCCAATTCCAGGTCGATGCATCCCCCCCTATGCCTATCCTCCCCTATCGTTGCCCCTCGTGAACGGCACTGGGCGCTTACTGGACACCTAGACAGTCCTGCCCTCTTCGATCCCTTCCCCCGAATGCGCTGACGAAAAAGGCTTCGCTCGTCAGGGTGCTTATGATGAGGGTGGCTTTTTTCTGCCCTCTATCAAGGTCGATTTTCGGAGGTCTGCGCGGATTTCTCGGGTCGGCGCTGGGCCAGGGGCGGCGCCGGAGGCGCCGCCAGGGGGGAAAGAGCGCGGATCCGAGAGACCTGCACGGAGCTCCGAAAGTTCGTGTCTATGTCGTTTCTTGTCCTCTGGGAGGGCAGCTTCGGCCTGGACGGGGGCGCCCGGAAGTCTGACCTGCCCCCTCGCATGGTCTTCTCTCGGAGGCCTAGAGGTCGGCGCCAGCACCAGTATCGGCGGTGTGCCTCCTCCGAGGGAAGATGATCCCGACCTCGGTGCTCATGGTGATATTCGGCTTCCAAGGCGGCCGAAAGATTTACCACCGAAACTGGAGTCAAGGACCATCTTCTCCCTGTGGAGGCCCCTCCCCTGTGTTGGTGCTGGTGCTCCCGCTCTCCAAGCCTCCGATGCTCGCCCACGGAGCAGGAGGTGGCGGCCCGCCGCAGGGCGGAGGAGCAGTGCAGCCCCGCGGACGGCGGGCAGCCCGGCCTGGAGAGCGGGGTCATCGCGTACCTGGTGACCCGCCAGGAGTGGGCTGGGGCAGTGCAGGGGTAACTTCGAGAAAAGGGATTCGTACAAAAGCCAAGGACAGGCGACAGCAGAACAACAGGCGTAGCACAAAAAAGAGCACGGGCACAGGAATTCAGAAGCCGTTCCAGAGCGTTCCGGAGCGCTCGCAGAGCGTGCGGGAGCGCGCTGAGACCGCGGCGCCCGATACATCTGCCAGAACAGCTGGACCTCAGAGGTCCCCGATGTATCCCTGCCCGATTTGATCTCTCTCCTGGCCTCGCCTTGCAGGAGGATCTGGATAGGCTGGTCGAGAGCCTGCCACGGCTCCGGTACCACTTCCTGCGGACCTGGCCGTACCCTGTCAAGATATTCATTCCCAGCGGCACCCTCCGCGCATACGATCCGGGCAGCTTCTCCTCGTCGCCCAGCAAAGACGAGGTCAGCGAGGTGGCGCGGGAAAGCCTTGGGGGGGACTACGATTGGGAGGTCACAACGTTTGACGTTCGCTTCCCGGACCGGATCGAGCGCAACCCCGCGTGGCAGGATGAGATGAACACCTGTGCGCGAGCGGTCTCGACAAGCTACAAGCACATGAACCAGTTCTTTACCAAGGCGATGTACGAGCATGAGTCTCTGCAGAAATACCGGTACTATTTGCGCATGGACGCGGACTTCGAATTCCAAATGGGCCTGAATATGGACCCTTTCTGTCTAATGGCGAAGACTGGCCGGAAGTTTGTCTGGCAGACGCGAAGACATGTTCGCGACCTAACCTGTTCAGAAGGTCTCTGGGAATGGTTCCTGAAATACCAGCAAGACAACGGCCTGACCCCACAGGACACCCACATCTGGGGAGAATCGGCTTCGATGATCAACTACGTTGGCTATGTGGGAATGGGAGATCTGGACTTCTTTCGATCTGAGCGTGTTCGCAAGCTCGCGGCAGCGCTGAACGAGGACGGGCGGGTGTACCTGAACAGGTGGTCGGACCAGACCTACTACGTCCTCCTGCTCGCCCTCTTCGAAAACCATACCGCCGTGGGCGACCTCGGCTTCTGGTGGTCCGAGGACCTTTTCTGCCACAAGTGCAGGAAGCCTGGCAGGTTCGACCCCTTCACGGGCAAGGTCCACTTTGATGGCGGAGCTCTACCCTCCAGAAGTCATGGACAGAAGCAGAGGTTGAGTGAGATGAGGTAGCATCGAGCCGTTGACAGCGCACGCCGAAGTTGACCACCATAATATATCATCTGTTCGTTGTCCAGTAAAGGGGACTGGCAGCCCTTCGGAGGAGAAGACGATACAGGATGATGCTGCTGCTGATGATGACGATGCTGCTTCTGCTGCTGCTGCTGCTGCTGCTGCTGATGACGACGACGATGATGATGATGATGATGATGATGATGATGATGATGATGATGATGATGATGATGATGATGATGATGATGATGATGTGATGATGATGATGTTGATGTGATGATGATGTGATGATGATGATGATGATGATGATGATGAGCTGATGATGATGAGCTGATCTGATGCTGATGCAATGATGCTGCTGTGAGGGATGGAGGATGGATGAGGATGATGGATGATGAGTTGATGATGATGATGATGATGAGGATGAGGATGTTGTATGATGAGATGATGAATGATGATGATGATTATGATGTGATGATGATGATGATGATGTGATGATGCTGATGATGATGATGATGATGATGATGATGTGATGATGATGATGATGGATGATGATGAGGATGATGATGATGCTGATGATGATGATAATGATGATGGATATGATGATGATGACGATGATGACTGATGATGATGATGATGATGATGATGATGATGATGATTGATGATGATGATGATGATGATGATGATGATGATGATGATGATGATGATGATGATGATGATGATGATGATGATGATGATGATGATGATGATGATGATGATGATGATGATGATGATGATGATGATGATGAGTAGGTTGAGGAGGATGAGGAGGAGGAAGAGGAGGAGGAGGTGGAAACATCAACTTGAAGTCGGTAGTTTTGCCTAGCGTCGAGTTTTGCCGTCATCGGATTCACGAGGCGCGAATGGGAGGGTCTGCAATTTGGGAGGGACCCCGCACCTCACCTCCCCTCTCCCCTGGTGCTTCTCCCCCCTCCCTTCTGCCTCCCCCCCTTTCCTTCCACTACGCCTGCATTTCCTCTCCCTGCTTTCCCTTCAATCTCCTTCATCTGCTGCCTTCCTCCCCTCTGTCCCCCCCCTCCCCACTCCTATTCGCCCCTCTATCGCCTCCACCTCCTCTGCCTCCCCATCCCATCCACTGCCCTCCACCGTCCTCCCTAACCCCCTTCCCCCCCCCACTCCCCTTCCACTGCCTCCCCCAGCACTGCTTCCCTCTCCCCATCCCCCCCCCCCGCTGCTCTCCTATCCCCTTCACCGCCTCCTCCTTCCGCTGCTCTCCACCCGCTGCTCTCCACCGTAGCTCCCGCCGCCCGGGGTCCGCCCTCCCTGTCTCCAGCCACCTCACCGTGCCTGTGAGCCCGCGGGCGGTCGGAGAATGCTCCGACCGCCCGACCAGGGGCGGTGAGGGGCGAGGAGAAGGAGGGGGAGGAGGAGGAGGAGGAGGAGCGAGGAGGAGCGAGGAGGAGGAGCGAGGAGGAGCTCGGAGGAGGAGGAGGAGGAGCGAGGAGGAGGGCCGCAGGGGCCGCTCCCCTCAATGCTGACCCCCCGACCTGTGCCGGAGCCGCGAGTTCGGCCGGGAGGGGCGAGAGTTCCATCACGGAGCCGTCGGCGCCCAGGCACGATTTCAGAGGGAGGCCTCAGTTTGCGGTGTGGGCGCGGTCTCGTCTGTGGTCACAGCAGTGCTGCCTCACGGCGGTCTTTTCCGGTGGAGGCGTTTTGATTCAGGGCGTCTGGAGTGCGTTCCACGCTGAAGCTGCCGCCCTGGACGCGGCATGTCTGCCGGTGGTGCAATTGCCCGGGCACCTCGTATACAGTCATGTGCCAATGGCTGCTTATCTTGAACTCGTTCAGGCAGCGCAAGAGTGGCGCTTCTGTGTGTGAGCAAGCGTCAGAAGGGAACAGACACAAACAGACACAAATCATCGTCGACTCCCAGGAAAATATGGGAAAACATGGGAAGTGGGAGGGAAGACGAAGTCCCAGAAACTATGGGAAAATATAGGGAATCCCGCTGTTTGTGTGTATTTAACTGTCTGTGTGTCCCAGGGCTCCTTCAAAGCATACCTGCGCACTCCACCCATGCGCGGCACGTGGCAACATCAACGTGAACATGCAAGACGAAGAGAACGTCTTGAGGGGGGACGCGTGGCCCCGTCTGCAGCCTGCACACGTGGATCTTGTGCGCTGTGGGCCCCAAGAATCGCAGGCCTACAGGTTGACACCAACGCCAAGATCGGCGGTGTGCCTTGGCCGAGGGAAGACGATCCCGATCTCGGTGATGGGGGTGATGTTCTAGCTTCCAAGGCGGCCGAACGATTACCACCGGCACCGAAATCTAGGATCATCATCCCTGTGTGGAGGCAACCTCCTATGCTGGTGTTGGTGCCAATTTCCAGGCCTCCAAAAGAAATTTCCATGAGGCGCCACCTCAGCATCATTGTATTTGCTGACAGCGCGTCGCTCCGATGGACCTCCAGGAGTTCACGAAAGTGGCGGCGGTCGCACAGTCGGCAGCGCCCAGGAAAAGGGGAGGTCTTGTAGCCTGGGTCCTTTTCGCACTGCACTCCGCTGGATCTCCCAGGAGCTCCTGAAAGAGCCGACATTTGAGCAGTTGGCAGCGCCCAGGGAGGGGAGTCATAGTTTGGATCTGTGCACGACTGGACTCCGCTGGGCCTCCCAGGAGGTCCCGGTGGTGCCAGCAGTTGTGCGTTTGGCAGCGCCAAGGCAGCGGAGTGGCACCTACCAGCGCCAGAGCAGGCGCGCACCCGCGCCAGAGCAGTGGAGCACTGGGGCCGCCCTCCGCTGGACCCGCCCGGGGCCCACGAGCGCGGGGACGGTTGCGCAGCTCGTCGCACTCAGGGGAGGGGGAGCGCAAGACCCGGGTTTGCCAGGACTCGGGTTCGCCATCGTTTTTTGACGACCGCGCCTCGGATTTTGACGAGGAGGAGCTTCGCGGGATGTCTGCAGCGGGAGGCCTCGTCAGAATGCAGGCTCGGCCTCGTCATTTTTTTGACGACCTCGTCGGGGATTTCCGAGTCCCCTGTACCCAGGTCTTACGTCCCCCTGATCAGGGAGGGGGAGCACTGGTCGGGAGCTGCTGCTCGGCGCCACGTTCCGCTGGGCTTCGCAGGAGCTCGCGAGGCTGCTGGCAGCTCCCAGCAGGCGGCGCCTGGGGCCCGGGCGTGGGGCAGCCAGAGTTTCTGGATCCGCGCCTGGCCGCGCTGCGCTGGCCCGCCCCAAGGGGTCCCGACAGGGTATCTCCTCCTCCTCCCCCTCCCCCTCCTCCTCCTCCTCCTCTCCTCTCTCCTCCTCGTCCTCCTCCTCCTCCTCCTCCTCCTCCTCCTCCTCGTCGTCCTCCTCCTCCTCCTCCTCCTCCTCCTCCTCGTCCTCCTCCTCCTCCTGCTCCTCCTCCTCCTCCTTGTCCTCCTCCTCCTCCTCCTCCTCCTCCTCCTCGGCGCGAGGGTTGGGGGGAGGCGAGGCAAGCCCGCCGCCCTCCTCCTCCTCGTCCTCCTCCTCCTCCTCCTCCTCGTGCTCCTCCTCCTCGTCCTCTGGTTCCTCCTCCATCCTCTCCTCCGCTGGACCCATCACAGGCTCGCGAACGTGGCGACAGTTGCACAGCTTGCGGCACCTGGAGAGGCGAGGTCCCGTTTCGATCCGCGCTTCGCCGGAGCCCTCCACATGTTCGCAAGAGTGACGACGGTTGCACAGCGGGTGGCATTCGTGGAGGCCGGGCCCCGGTTTCGATCTGGTTATAAGGCCGCATTCCGGCGGACCCCATGCAGGCTTACGAGAGTGGCGACAGTTGTGCGCTTGACAGCATACGGCAGCACCCAGGGAGGCCATGTAGGAGATAAGTAGGAGTCACAGGCGGTTTTTTTCCTCCAGTCCCCGAGTTCCGCTCGATACACCCCAAGGGGGAAACCCTGGGATACACCCCAAGGTGGCTATTCGGACGCACCCTATCGCGGATGGACGCCTCTCCTCTCGCATACCCCAGGCCTTGGCCCCACATTTTCGGTCCCTTCGACAACTCCCCGACGCTGGGGACAGGGGTCGACACATCTCTCCTGTTATGAGGAGGAAGGGTGCAGAAGCAGGGGAGAGCGCGAGGACCCCCGGCAGGAGGACTGGGGCAGGCCGTCCTCGCAGCATCGCTCTTTCCTCCTCCTTCCTCCTCCTCCTCCTCCTCCTCCTCCTCCTCCTCCTCCTCCGCGCGAGGGTTGGGGGGGGGGCGAGGCAAGCCCGCCGCCCTCGACGACGAGGAGGCCTCCCGCGAGGCGGCCAAGTAGGGCGCCCCGCCGCGCCGCGGGCCAGCCCGCGGGCCGGCCCGCCTCGTCGGGCGGCGCAGGCGACTTCCAGCTCTCCGACGATCGGGGGCTCGAGACTCTAGTTGAAGAAGAAGAAGAAGGATAATAATAACAAAAACAATAATAAGAAGTATAATAGTAAGACGAATAATAATAACAAGCAGAAGACACACAATAATAATAATACTAGTAATAATAATGGTAATACTAATAATAAGAATAAGATTAATAATAATAGTATTGATACTAATAATAATTAGAAGAATAATAAGAATAACAATAATACTAAGAAGAATAATACTACTGATAATAAAAAGAATAATAAGACGAATAATAATAAGAAAAATAATAATACTGATGGTAATAATAATAATAATAAGAATAATTATATTAGTAAGAAGAAGCATGATAATAATAATACTACCAATAATAATATTAAGAATAGTAGTAGTAATAATAATAATAAGAATAATACATATAATACTAATAGTAGTAGTAATAATAAAAAGAATAAGAATAATAATGATAATAATAATCATAAAAATAATAATCATAAAGATAATAATAATAATATTAATAATAATAATAATACATAAATAATAGTAATAATAATAATAATAATAATAAGCCACATCAGCATAACCTTTTGGTGCTCCGCGCCGATTTCTTGGATCCGCGCCCGGGCCCCTCCCGCGGCGCCTCCGCCGCCGCCCCTGGCGCGCTCCGCGCGCCAGGGGGGCGGGGGTCAGTGCAAACAGGGTCAGCCAGAGCGCCGGATCTTGCAGGATCCTGCAGGGGCAGGGTCGCATTGACCCAGGCTTGGGTGCCGGATCCTGCAGGATCTTGCAGGATCCTTCGCATTGACCCGGCTTTGGGTGCAGGATCTTGCAGGATCTCTCAGGATTCTGCATGGCCTGACTGACCCGGGTCTGGATTGACCCGGGTCAGAAGATCTCCGACGATGGGGGCTCGAGAGACTCTAGTCGAAAAAGAGAAAAGCACTTAAACAAACTTTTGGCGCTCCGCGCAGATTTCTTGGATCCGCGCCTGGGCCGGGGGGGGCGCCTCTGGCGCCGCCCCTGGCGCGCTCCGCGCGCCAGGGAGGGGTGTCCAGTGCGAATCCAAGGAATCCGCGCGGAGAGCCAAAAGTTGATGTTTATGTTTTTGTTTCTTCTTCTATCTAGGTCTCCTACATGGGGTCGGAGTAGATGGGGTCGGTGGATCGCGCCGCATCGCCGATGCACCGGCGATGTGGCTCGATGCGGAGCCCGACCTGCTTCACGTCGACGTCGTCGATGCATCGCTCACGTCGGCGATGCATCGCCGATGTGTGGCCGGTTTATCGCCGATGCGGTGCGATCCTCCGAGGTCCGAGCAGATGGGGCTCGAGGTGGAGCGACGTTCGCGTGGCGATGTTCCACGTACGTCCGACGTGAATCCGACGTGAATCCGACGTGAATCCGACGTGAATCCGAGGTAATCCGACGCCAGACCGAGTATCCGACGTAAGCTGGATCTCACGTTATCGCGCGAGGCCTCCTCCTACGGTCGAGCTGGATGAGTAAGTCGCCCTTTCCGAACCGAGGCCACCCTCGTGTCCTGTGCATGGCGTCTCACCTTTGCTGCAGTTCCAGGGGCAAGGGGACCCCGGCTCAGAGGCCTTGCTGCTCTCGGGAGAGTGTGTCCTCTCGCGTGCCCTCTCTCTCTCTCTCTCTCTCGAGGAGGAGGAGGAGGAGGAGAAGGAGGGGGAGGAGGAGGGGGAGGAGGAGAGGAGGAGGAGGAGGGAGGAGGAGGAGAGGAGGAGGAGGAGGAGGAGGAGGAGGAGGAGGAGGGGGGGGAGGAGGAGGGGGAGGAGGGGAGGAGGAGGAGGAGGAGGAGGAGGAGGAGGAGGAGGAGGAGGATGAGGTGGAGGAGGGGGAGGAGGGGGAGGAGGAGGAGGAGGAGGATGTGGAGGAGGAGGAGTCAAGCCCGACTGTAAATATCGTCGGATGTCTGGACGTCCGCGGCCGGCGGCCGCAGCGTCGGCGGCGCCGCGCGCGCCTCCGAAGCTCGGCGGGTGCGCTGGAGGGGCGGCGCGAGGACGGCTGCCTGGTGGAGAGGGTTCTCTCGGGAGCCCCCGCCCTGCTCTCCTCCAGCCGGGGACCCCTTCCTGCAGATCTTGGTGATGGTAGTGGCGGCGGTGATGATGGCGGTGGTGGTGGTGGTGCTGCTGCTAATGAGGATGATACTGCTGATGATGAGGACGGTGCTGCTGCTGCTGCTGATGATGATGATGATGAAAAGCTGGTGATGATAATTGGGCTGATGATGACGATGATCATGATGATACTGATGATATTGCTGCTGCTGATGATGATGATGATGATGATGATGATAGTGGGGATGATGACGATGATGATGGTGGTGGTGATGATGATGTTGGTGACTGATACTGACGATGATGATGATGCTGGTGACGATGATGCGGTAGATGATTCTGATGATGATGATGAAGTTATATTGATGCTGCTGGTGATGACAGGAAGGATGATGACGAGGATGAGTATGAGATTGAGGACGAGGGTGAGGATGAGGTTGCTGCTGCTGCTGTATGATGCTGTTGATGATGATGATGATGGTGATGCTGATTGTGGTGCTGATGATGATGACGATGCTGATATTGATGATGATGACGATGACGACGACGATGACGACGGCGACGATGATGATGATGATAGTTGGGATGATAATGCTGACGATGATGATGATGATGATGATGATGATGATGATGATGATGATGATGCTGATTTTGATGATGATGCTGATGTTGATCATGATGATGAAGAAGGTGATGATAATGCTGATGCTGATGACGATGATGATGATGATGCTGTTGCTGATGATAATGCTGCTGGTGTTGTCGATGATGATGATGATGATGATGATGATGATGATGATGATGATGCTAATGATGATGATGATGATGATGATGATGAATGCGGGGATGATGCTGCTGCTGACGATGATGATGATGGTGAAGATGATGCTGATGATGAAACTTATGCCGACACTGCTGATCATGATGTTGGTGGTGGTGGTGATATTGTTGATGATGATGATGATGATGCTGATGACGAGGACGATAATGATGAAGATGACAATGATGATACTGATGATGATGATGCTGCTGATGATGACGATGATGATGATGAGGCGGAATATGATGCTGAGGTTGTGAGATTGATGATGGTGAGGTTGATGAGTTTGTGGATGACAGTGTACAGCAGGATACTGTCGATGCTGGTAATACTGATGATGCTGATGGTGGTTGTGTTGCTGATTGTACTGTCGATGACGAGGATCATCATAATGATGATGATGACAATGATGATGATGATGATGATGGTGATGATGATGATGGTGATGATGATGGTGATGATGATGATGATGATGATGATGATGATGATGATGATGTTGCTGATCATGATGGTGGTGGTTGTGGTGATGATGGATTGTAATTGTGGTGATCATGGTGGTGTTGCTGGTGAGGATGACGACGATGACGATGATAATGATGATAGTGATGATGACGATGACGATGATGATTATGATGATGATGACGATGCTTGTGATAATGACGATGATGATGTTAATGATGGTAGTTGGGACGATGCTGCTGATGAGTATGATGATTCTGATGACGATGCCGATGGCGATCACGATGATGAGGACGACGATGATGATGATGCTGATGATGATGATGATGATGATAATAATATTAATGATGACGCTGATGATGATGACGATGATGATGATGCTGATGGTGTTGGTGCGGATGATGATGCTGATCATTATGGTGGTTTGTGGGGATATGATGCTGATGCTGTTGATGACTGTGATGCTGGTGGTGATGATGATGCTGTTGCTGATGACGAAGACGATGATGATGATGATGATGATGATGATGATGATGATGATGATGACGAGTAGAAGGATTGAGGATGATGCTCGTGCCGCTGCGGATGTTGTTGATGATGATGATGATGGTGATGATGATGATGATGATGATGATGATAATGTTGGTGGTGGTGATCATGATGATGATGGTGCTGATGATGCTGCTGATGATGATGAAACTATTGTTGATGATAAGACGAAGGATGATGCTGAACATGATGATGACGATGTTGATGAGGATGATGATGATTCTGATGATGCTGATGATGATGCTGGTGGTGGTGATGATGATGCTGATGATGATGATTGGGATGATGATTCCCATGAGCATGATGATGATGCTGATGCTGCCGATGCTGATCATGATGGTGGTGGTGTGGTGGGAGGATAATGGTGATGATGGGGATACTAATTGTGGTTGTGGTGGTGGTTATGAGGCTCATGACGACGGCAACGATGTTGACAATGATGATTATGTCGATGCTGATAGTGATGATACTGTTGATTATGATGATGATGCGGAGGGGGATGAGGATGAGGATGATGAGGATGATGAGGATGATGATGGTGATGACGATGAGGATGAGTAGGAGGATGATGAGGATGAGGATGAAGATGACGATGACGATGCTCATGTGATGATGAGTATGATGATGATGATGCCTGTTTTCGAGGATGAGGATGAGGACGACGATGAGGATGATGACGATAACGCTGATGATGATGATGATGATGATGATGATGATGATGATGATGAAGATGATGACGAGCGTGCTGAGGATGCTGCTGATGACGTTGATGATCGTGCTGCTGATGGTGATGCTGATGCTGATGATAGGATTGATGAGCATGATGATACTTAGGATGAGGATGAGGATTCGGATGATGAGGATGATGCTGCTGGTGATGACGATGCGGATGATGAAACAAATACGGATACGGAGTATGAATACGATGATGATGATACTGATGGTGAGGATGCGGATAATGATGACGATGATGATGAGGCTGAGAACGAGGATCAGGCGGATGATACTGATGATGAC